ATGCTATTTTGCACAATCAATGACTTTCCTACATACGGAAATTTATCTGGTTATACTAACAAAGGGCATAAAGCATGTCCTATATGTGCAGAACACACATACTACCATCAATTAGTACATGGGAAGAAGACTGCCTACCTTGGTCATCGAAGATTCCTTAGCCGATATCATCCATATCGCCGACTGAAGAAGGCTTTTAATGGATGCACTGAGAATGGAATCGCTCCGTTACCGTTGACAGGAAAACAAGTTTATGAACAGGTGAAAGACATAAATGTTGTTTTTGGGAAAAAGAAAAAGAAGATTGTTGATACAAATAAAGGGAAGAAGAGGGTTGTGTGCTTTGATCTTCCATACTGGAGCACTTTGGATGTGCGCCATTATATTGATGTGATGCATGTGGAGAAAAATGTATGTGATAGCATTGTTGGCACACTTCTAAACATCCCAAGTAAGACAAAAGATGGGTTGAAATCACGTCTCAATCTTGTAGATATGGGCATACTATTACAATTAGCTCCTCAGCCAAAGGGTAAGAGAATGTATTTGCCCCTGCAAGTCATACACTGTCAAAGGAAGAGAAAAGAAAATTTTGTGAATGTTTGCATAGTGTCAAAGTTCCGCAAGGTTATTGTTCTAATGTGAAGCGATTTGTTTCAATGAAGGACTTGAAGGTAGTTGGTTTGAAATCTCATGATTGTCATGTATTGATGCAACAACTGATTCCTATTGCTATTCGGGGTATCTTACCTGAAAAGATTAGGAATGCCATTACTAGGCTCTGTTTATTCTTCAACGCCATATGCAGGAAAGTTATAGACCCTAGAAAACTAGACGACTTGAAGAATGAGGTTGCGGTTGTGTTGTGCCAGTTAGAGATGCATTTCCCACCTTCTTTTTTTGACATCATGGTTCATGTAGTCGTTCATCTAGTAAGAGAGAGTAGATTGTGTGGGCCAGTCTATTTGCGGTGGATGTACTCCATGGAGCGATACATGAAAATTCTGAAAGGGTATGTTAAGAATCGACATCATCCTGAAGCATCTATTGTCGAGAGATATATTGCAGAAGATGCCATTGAGTTTCGTATAGAGTATATGGATAATGTGGCATCGGTTGTGATACCTAAGTCTCGACATGATGGTAGATCTGAAGGTGCGGGTATAAGAACCGTGATTGTTAAGTCAAAGAGTAGGGTTGGAGTTCTTCAAGCACATTTGTATATATTGAATAATACAGATGTGGTTCAGCCATACTTATCTGCTCATAGGACTCTTGTTGTGAGAAACAAATACCCCCGTATGAATGAAAAGTGGTTGATGAATGAACACAACAAGACTTTCACAAAGTGGTTCAAAGATAAAATTATCAACGAGAGCAGTGCTTGTGATAAGTTGAAGTTTTTTGCTCTAGGGTTAAAGTTTGATGCGTTGTGCTGGAGTGGGTATGACATTAATAAATGTTCTTTCTACACAAAGTCACAAGATGATAAGAGTACCATGCAGAATAGTGGAGTCATGGTTGTTGCTGAAGCCATGCACTTTTCGAGTGCGAAAGATAAGAATCCTATTCTTGCATCCATAGCGTACTTTGGAGTAATTGAAGACATTTGGGAGCTTGATTATTGTGGGCACAGAGATGTTGTTTTCAAATGTAAGTGGGTTGACAGTAAAAGTTGTGTCAAAACCACTGACTTAGGTATGACATTGGTGGACTTAAATAAGCTATCATATACGGAAGAACCTTTCATCATGGCATCTCAAGCGAAACAAGTTTCTTATGTGACTGACCCTTCTAATAAAAGGTGGTCATTAGTTTTGCAAGGTAAAAACCCTCATGTAAGTGATGAAAACTCTGACTCACTTGAGGACCTTTTTACATGTCCATTGTCAAATCTTAAGTCGACGTTCATTGATGACTGATGAATTGGATGACGTGCATGCAAGTCGTAATGATCACGATGAAGGGATATGTGAAAATATTGATATTGGTCAAGATATTGATAAGGTGTATTCTTAGTTATGTATTTTTTTAATTATGTGTTTCTATTCATGCTAAATATACATTATGAAGTAACTAAATTTAAGTAATTCTTTTATTTATTTATTTTCACAGGAAAATGAGTGATCCTCACAGACCTCATACTAGCACTGGGTCAGGTCTTGATCAATCTTCACCAAAACAAAATCTGGCAGAGGTTGCACGCGTTTACCAGATTTGACTCTCAATCGCATTGGTATGTGATTACTTTTAACATTGTGTTAATCATATATTACTTCGTGGACATATGCACTCTAAATCAATGTGTACACATGCAGCTGATCAACGCTTACCAATTGAATTTGACGATCACTGGAGACCTATTGGACCAAACTATGAGAAGTACAATAGTTACTTGGCATTACTTGGGCGTAGTAGGGCCATTATCTTACGTGAAGATTGGCCGGATGTAGAGGAAGCTGTGAAAAATCAGATTTGGCATGAGCTTACGGTATTTTTTATTGTTACAATGACATCAATTATATCATATCAAAACATTCATTAATGCTAATGTTTATTTATAATGTAGCTTACTTATGATGTTCCAAATAATCATAAGTTGAAACGGAAAGTGATCTCATATGCTGGTGTGCGATGGAGGGCATTTAAGACTTATCTTACTTCTACGTATGTGTATGGAACCAATAGTGAGAAATCACCATCTGAAGCTTATCCATATATTGATGATGAAACATGGTCTGAGTTTCTTAAGAGCCGGTTAGAGCCCGCGTTTCAGGTTATATTTATTTATTGCATTCTACATTAATAATATTTAATTTTAGTATGAGATGCTCTTAATTGTTATTAAAAAAAATACTCTTAATTGTATTACATACAATGTTGTATAGTTGCTTAAACTTATAAGTCTAATACAACTTATTAGACTTATTGTGATAGGAGAAAAGAAGAAAGGGGATAGAGACTCAATCACACAACGTCCACCCGCACAGAATGTCTCGTGGAGGGTATGCACTCCTTAAAAAAAGCTCAAAGAAGAACAATTGAGGAAACAGATGGAAGAATCACAATCTGACCCTTCAGTGTTGCTTAGTGACCCACCATCCCCGCCTAGGGTGCAAACTTGGAAAGCAGGTCGAGAAAAATGGAGTGTTTCTTCGTCAAGAGACAGCTGAAGTTGCTAAAAAGATGGTAATATTTTTCTTGTTGCTTAAGTTAAGATAACTTATGGTGTTTTGAATTGGTGCTTACGTGGTAAATGTTTGACAGGATTTGTTAGAGAAACAACAGAGTGAAGGAACATTTGTTCCTGAAGGGCGTAATGATATAATCACCACCTGTCTAGGTCCAGAGCACTCTGGTCGTGTACGCACTGTCGGAAGAGGTGTCGGTCTTAGAGATTTCTATCCGTCGTCATCCCGTAAGAGTACTGACTCGAAAGAGAAGTTGAAAATGGTGATAGACTTTGAAAAGAGACTTCCAAGAAGAATGGAAAAGAGACTTCCGAGAAGAATGGAAAAGTGAGGTTTATAATGACATGCGTGCTGATCTTCTTAAGGAGCTTCGCCAAGAAATGAAAAAAAAAATACCTCTCATTCTAAGGAAGAAGATCATATCATTCCGAGGCGTGTAAGCACGGGAGGAGATAATTTTGTGCCTGAGTTTGATGATGGTGATGAGAGTGATGATGACAATGATGTTCACGAGTTGTTCATTGATACCCCGCCTCCCCACCGTTTAGTTGCAAAGGGAAAGATACATGATTTTGGAGATAAAATTCATCATCAAATGGTTGGCTCGGAATATGTGAGAGTGGATGTAGTTAAAGTTCTAGAAGCAAATGCTCCGGTCCCAATTCCAAGTGGAGAGGTTCAAACGGTGGGGCAAGCTCCTAAGAACTTCATTGCATGGCCAAGAAGACTATTAAAGGATGTCAAAACACAGGTTCCATTACTATATTTTATTGTTAATGTTTAAACTTTTAAGCAATTTTCATTAAAAAGTAATTGTGCATTGTTATTTTATATAGGATAAAAAGGATGCACCTAAGTTCAAGTCCAAAGGTGTAGATGATCCCTTATAGTAAGCCATTGTAGTTTTAGAGAATTGGTTGAAGTTTCCATGGGTAGAGATCTCCATAGTAAGTTATAGTAAGCCATTGTAGTTTTAGATAAGATATGAATTGAGATTTACTTGTTTCATTGTGGGTGGGGAGCTGGGGAGGGAGCTGGTGGGATGGGGAGGGGGCTGGTGGGATGGGGAGGAGCTGGGGAGGGGCTGGGGAGGTGGCTGGGGAGCTGGGGGAGGGGGGTGGGGAGCTGGGAAGGGGGCTGGTGGGATGGGAAGGGGGCTGGGGAGCTGGGGAGGGGGCTGGTGGGATGGTGAGGGTCCGGTGAGCTGGGGAGGGGGCTGGTGGGATGGGGAGGGGGCTGGTGTGGAAGTTGGAGAGACTTGCTCCTTATACACCCTTGAGGTTGGACCCTTACCCGAACCGTCGTCTTGCGGGGACGCCAATGTGCACCAGCCTGCCCCTTATCGTGTATTCTAATTCTGCTGCTTATTAGTTATAGGATTATAGCTACATATCAGCATCTCAAAACACTTGGTTCACAGTATACACCAATTCTCTTTGATTAATACGGAATGTGGGCATCGAGATACACCTTTTCGGATTGTTATTCCAAAAGGGTCACTTTAGTGATGCAAGAGAAATATTGCAAAGTTGATACTTGATATAACTCCTTGGCTAAGAGGAACTAGCGGGTAATGCATTCTTTGCTACAAGTGTTCCCTTATATGGATAAGATGTTAGAGTAAGATTTTCTTTTAGATGTTAGAGTAAGAAGTGTACACTATTTGCTACCAGATATTAAATATTTTTTTATGTATTATTTTTTTTAAAAAAATTGTTTGTCTTTTATCCTTTTTTATGTATACATGAATCATTGACAGCTCTTTATTCTCTCTCCTTTCCAAAACACTATTGTCTTCTTGTGTTCTTTGGGGAATAAGCCAAATAGACAATTCAAAAATATTAGTGATGCGTAAGTATTTTGTACATTCCGTTTTAATCTTAATTACATAAATATTTTATTATTATATATATATATTTAATATTATAAATTACATAGTGCAATGGAGGCAAGCCGTAGGCTCAACTCAAGAAAGGGAAGAGTGAAATGGATTATTCCTATGGTAAATACTTACTACTTTACATTGTATGTTATTTTTACTTTCATTTGTGTGTAGCACCAAGTCGAATACCGTAATTTCTGATTAGTAATTATGTTGTTCTAATTTGTAGTCTCGGATGCAAGTTGGGAGTTATGAATGTGGTTATTATGTGATGTTGCATATGTTGAATATCGTTTCGGCGGTAATTCTTGAAATGTGGGATGAGGTACGTTATTATTTTATTTACATTCAATAGGTTTGCTCCACATGTAATGTTTTTTAATAACCTTCTTATTTAATTTGTAGCGATTCGCCAATCCGGAACCATTCTCATCAGAAGAGATTGATGAAGTACGAACTCGTTGGGCATCATATTTCTTAGAAATGACGCAATCCATCAACGACACATGATGAACGTGTTTGTTTAAGTTTTTGAGTGATGATGAGACTTGTAACTTTATACAATGTGTTATTACTGTAGACTTGTGCAAGGATTGTTTTATTTTTGCTTGTTATTATGTACTAAGTTGTTACTTGAACTTGTTTGACATTTGTGGAAGAATTGAAAAATAGCTTGTGTTATTGTTTTAGATGGATCAAGTGAACAAGTGAAAAATTGTGCTATAGTAGTTGATGATACTGTTAATGATGTGATTATAGAATAAACAGGGGTCATATTGCAAAATTTTTTCATGAAAAATACCGAAAAAATGAAGTTTTTCACATTAGTTGTGAAATAACTGATGTGATTGCTTTTCTACATGGGTTATAACTGATGTGAAACACATATGTTCCGAACAAAATGAAGCTTTTCACATCAGTTGTGAAATAACTGATGTGATTTCTTTTCTACATGGGTTATAACCAATGTGAAACACATATGTTCCGGAAAAAAACGAAGCATTTCACATCAGTTATGAAATAACCGATGTGATTTCTTTTTTACATGGGTTATAACCGATGTGAAAAACCTATGCTCCGGGAAAAATTGAAGCTTTTCTACATCAGTTGTAAAATAACCGATGTGAATTCTTTTTTACATGGGTTATGACCGATGTAAAAAACCTATGCTACGGGAAAAATTGAAGCTTTTCTACATCAGTTGTAAAATAACCGATGTGGTTTCTTTTCTACATGGGTTATAACCGATGTGAAATATCTTCTAGATCGGGCACTAAACGACCGATGTAGAAAGCATTTTCACATCGGCTGTTTGACCAATGTCAAAAGTCAATACTTTTCACATGTGCTGGAACCACATCGGCTGTTTGACCGATGTGAAAAGCCTTTTTTGACCGATGTGAAAAGCCTTTTTTGTACTAGTGTTTGTAACATTTTAATAATGGATTGAGTTATTAAGTATGTCGCTAGTTTAACATTTTGCGGGTTATCACTTTGATGAGACAATATTCCTCTAGTTAAGGGGAGATAGGATAAAGATTTTTCAAAGAAACAATGGTAATTGTCCTAGTATGTTCCCACTTTATCTCATGTTGATCGCGGAACATCACAATGTGAAGTTGAAGTGTACAGAAAAATTGATTTTCAAAATGTAGGAGGCTTCATACAAGAATATAACAAGAAAAGGTCACATACACTAGATGCAAACGTAAAACCAAGGCTACAAGACCCCAAAAAGGGAATAGTGTCAGAGGCATTACAACCACACCTAGTGGTTGTGTAGTTGAGGTCATTGCTCCTCCTGGGAAGAGAGAAAGACCGCGATACAACCAAATCCATTGATCAACGATGCAGAACATCCCTCGAATGAGATTATCTATGATTACAATTATACTCCATGAATTATTACTAAAGGACACTCCCATGTTTGATACTCCATATGATTCTAGAAAACAAAGAAATCTCAATGGATTGTAAAAATAAATACTACGAGTATGTGTTAATGGAAAGATTTTTCATACACATTGATGATATATTTGCAATCTATCACTTTTCTGAATAAATTATAGAGCACAGTGATATTGAACCATGCTCTCTTGCAAGATGTCAACAAAGAGCAGATTGCCTAAACGGAAAGAAGAAATCAAGGTAGAACTAAATTCTCTAAAAAAATAGGTATCTAGTCTTGCAGTGCTAACCACCCAACTAAATATAAAGTTGTGGGAAATAAATGTGTATTATTGACATCTTAAGGTACAACCCACTTTGTGGCACAAGGTTCCTTCTCACAATGCCCTAAGATTTAATACGAGGAGACACACTCTCTCATAATGGATGTTATAACCTTCAATTCCATTGCTTAGTCAGCTTAGTGGTTTCAAAGAGCTAGAAATGCAGTTAAGGCATGTAGTTAATACATACCACTGTGGAGATCTTGATTTAGAGATAAACGTGAAAGTACATGACAATCTTCCATTATCTAAATCAAGTGACTCAAAACCATAGAGTGTGTTTGCATTTCAATAAAAAGCATGATTACAACATAATAATACAACACACTGACTTCCATAGTAATAAAATTTGCAATGACATTGAAATTGGTTGCATATTTGCAATAATGAATATTGCGATGAACAATAAAGTCATCGAATATATGTTGTAACAGTATTTGAAATGGTAAAATATATGACAAATGAAGGGAATATATGTTGTAACAGTATTTGAAATGGTAAAATATATGTGTTGCAATATAACTGCAACAAGGATACTACGTAGTAATGAATTAGGGAATAGATGCGAGAAGGGGATTCCTATCTGTGCCGCGACTCCACGACTAGGGCCGCCAACATCAACGGAACAGATGCGAGAAGAGGATTCTGATCTGCGCCGCGGAATGATCGTGACTGGGTATGGCGTAGCTCGTGTGCAGATCGGAGGGAATCGCCGGTCCTTGAATGGGGATCTTCGCAGTCGCGAAATCATCATCGTGACTATGTCAGCGTAAGTAGAGGAAAACGAAGATGGACTTCAAGTTCATCGGAGAATGATTTTCTAGTTAGCCGTCAACATCGTAATTCACTTCAAGATCACAGATGCAATGCTTCTCCTTGGATGAACCTTCGGTACAAGCGTGAAAATGTCAGAGATGGTCTCGACATTGGACAAGAATTCCAAGGAAGGGCTGGATGAAAATCGGCCTATACTAGGCGTTTTGGATCTCCAACAGGGAGAAATCGGCTGACTCTTACTGACACTGAACATCACTGGAGCAGCAGCTCAAAGTATTGGCAAGGAAAATGACATCAGCCATCCTCCAAGCATATTGGAGCATATGGGTCATGTACTATGGGTGGCAGCGGTGAATTTGTTGAACAAGTTAGGGAGTTGGCAGCAACACAGCGGATTAAAATCGAGAGTAAAACTTTTTGCTTTAAATCTTTATCATCTATTTTACAAATCAGTCAATTAAAAAACAAAAAAAGCTGCTTTATATCTTTGGATGAAGATGGGACATATTGGCTATGTGAAGCTTTTTGCAAAATCCAGTCAGAAAAATCATGGAGTTTTACTAGGTATGAAAGCTCTAGAAAATTATTTCTAGCTTTCAACAATAACAACTTTGGTAATTTTATTCGTTTAGTGGCTTTTGAAAGTTGGGGTAGTACTACTATTATTGTGCTGTGAGGAGTGAAAGGAAGAGGGTTTAGTTTGTTTTGTTCTGCCTTACTTAGTCAGCGGGATATTTTGAAAGAAAATTCGAAGGGGTTATTGAGAAATTCTTTAAAAGACTTTGCAATTGTGTGCTCTTCTTCTTCTGAATCTTCTGAGACATCTACTTCTGATGGCCTTGTGTCTATCTCTTCTTTGCTATTCCACAAAGATTTACTCAATATTGGATATGAGAATGCTAATAGGGATTTGTTGGATCCGGAAGCATGCATTGTAGGGATAGATGTGGAATCATCATCATCAGAGTTAATATTAGAAGAGACACCTAACCTAGAAGTCATGCCTCTTAATGTGAATATTGAGGGCATTATGTCACACGAGGAGGCCTCTCACAGCGGTAGGCAACAAGAACAAAATAACAGTTCACAAAAGGCTGATATTCAAGGTTTTTCTCCTTCGACGATCACTTGGGATATGTCTTCATCGACTGATTTGATTTCTTCTTCTGATGCAATGAGGGAAGTAAGTTCTTGCTCCAAGAAGAACATGAAAGAGAATGAAAATGTTTTTCCCAAGCGAAAGGTTGTGGTTAAGAACTCTAAACCGACTATTATCTCCTACCCTTCTCTTCAAGATCTTATCACTCAATTCAAGGTAGATCAAATGAGTTTAGACAAAAGGATGAAATCTCAGACTTCGGCTCAGAGTGTTGCTCTATCTTCATCTGCGGCTTCAGTGGCTTCTCCGGCTTTAGCTGAACAATATGATGTAACCGAGGTCACTGAAGATGGTTCTTTCACTCCAGTAATTTCTCGGTGTAACAAGAAAAAATTGACTACTGAGGCTTCCTCCATGCAAACTAGGTCACAATTGCGCTTGAAAGCTTAATCTTTACCTTTGTTTGCGTTCTTTAGCTTGGTTTATTCGTTATTGCTTTAGCTTTTTTCTTTCATTAGTGCATGTATTACTTTCATTCTTTTTAATAAAATTTGGTTTCTTGTTAAAAAAAAAATAACTGCAACAAGAATGAAAATGGGGTATTATTTGGTTGCAAAATTATCAATGTGCAATCGGGTGTGGTATTTCCGTCTAAGTGACCACTTGATTGGAAAAATATAACACAACAAACTAGTTCATACATATACATTAAGAAATCGGGTTCTAGATTCGCCATCATAGTTGTATATATTGATTATATGAACACACTTGGTACTAAGGGTGGGCACGGCCCGGGATGGAACAAGAATTGGATTGTCCCGGTACTGAACCCGATTTATAATAATGGTTCGGAACGGGACGGGACAAGACATTGTCCTTTTGTTATTCCATTTAAACTGAAACCGGGACAAAACGGGACGGTTCGAGACATTCCAAAAAAACTGTAGTGGTAAAAATTGCAATCCCAAAAATGAACCCAAGCTATTTGAAAACCAAAAAACTAGCGCAAAAAACCTTTATGACAAAAAAATGCAACTAATCTAGAAAATTGTGAGGAAAAAATACAACTTATCTGATTAGGTGCAAGAAACAAAAGTTGCAGGAAAAAAACTCTTACATAAAAAACTATCAAGAAATCTGAAAAAAAAAACGATAAAAGAATACTATAAGAGGTGAAGCCTTTGGAAGTAAAAATCAATTTCTTTTTTGTAGATAGATGATACTTCATAGTTCATACTAGGTGGTTTAGAATATTTAGGTGTTCTATACTCGGCAGTATTTTAATAATCATTTGTATTTAGGTTGTGAAAAAGGATATTTATTATTATTTGGATTACATAATGAGTTGTTGGTAGACTCACTAACCTACTACAAAGTACAATTTTGGATTCTGGACAATGGGACGGAACGAGATATTTTTACTTGTCCCAGTCCCATTTTGTTTTGAAACGATTCAGGACCGGTACTGG